TAATTACAGAAGGAAATCCCACGATTAGCTAATTAACCGTCCTTGATTTGATCCGTTCCGAGATTTTCGCCATGATCTTCGACCAGTCACGGATATCTCGCCTTTCCGTTATTACGCTACCTTCGATCTCGCTCGACGTCTGTCTCATTTGATCTCAATCACCACCAGCCTCGATCTTGATAGGTACCCCAAATCTCGAACTCGGTACTTTGTCCTTGCCTCGGTCCAATCTATTACGGGATCGATATTCGATCCTTTACACTGGTCTCGATAAATCAGTAAAATGGGGCTCATCCGTATACAGCTTTTGTACAACTTTATAGATAAACCTTCTTCTCCTTGTCGTAAACTATAGTTTCTTTATTTCTTTCTTTCGCCTACATTAAATAGTCCTTCAAAGGAATGATACACAGAAACTTCTCTTTTCTTCCTGGCTTAAGAAAAGTCTTTTAGAAGTAACGTTTAAAAAAAAAAAGGATGAATGACATGTTTGTTTTGAAGCATTAAAATTTCTTGTAATTACAGACACATACTTTTATTTGATGAATGTAAATTATCACTTTAATGAAAATCTATTTTATCTAATATTTTGTGATATTTTTATACATGAGATAATATGCAAAGATGAACTAACGACAAATAACTGGTTTAATAAAAATATTCAAGTAACTCGAGAAAGAACTATTTGAGAAACCAACACTAATAGTATTCCCAGAAAGGAGCATCTTTATGCCACTAATATGTTTATTTAATCTAGTGATAAATTTGAGACGCTTAACAGTTTGTTTGGATGGTTGTTACATATCGTTTCATAATGTATCGTATCATACTATATTGTATTGTGTTGTTTAATGAATGATGATAGGCTATAATTACGTATTTTAGTCGCTTATTACACTCAAATTTACTGCACTTTAATTGAGTTTGCGCTTGAATCGCTAGTGTTTTGCACTAACGGTGTGTTTTATGCCTTGTAGGAGTGATTCCGAGCTATATAGATGTTATGGAATGAATTCAAGTGATTTGGAACTTTAAAGTCTGAGTAAAATCCCAAGGAATTAAGTCGGGATCGTATTCAGGGATCAACGGATGATAGAGCAACAAAACGAAGAATCGAGTAGGCATATTGCGCACTGTCTAGTAAAATGCATATAACTTTTTTCTCAGAACTCCATTTGGGATCCACAATATATGGTTGGAAAACTAACTCAAAGGGCTACAACTTTCATGTTTTACGTTTTCCCAAATTCCAAACGGAACAGGGTGAAAAACTTGGTCGAAACCGCAACCGCGGACCTGAGGCGGGCTGAGGCAGTATACCTGCCATATACCGCGGTCGGACCGCGGCCGCGGCAGTCCAGACGTGAAATATTGTCCTTTTTCGCGTAGGAGAAGGTATAATTGTTTGGGCCCGACCCTACTTGGTATATATACATGAAAAAACGGTATTTTAAAGGGGTAGGACATACTTTTGACGCAGATTCGACCTAAGGAAGCAGAGATACAATAGGAGCAAGGCGGAGAATTCTTCTACGAGTTTTTCCTTCCTCTTCCTATTTTTCATTGTTGGTTATGACTTTTAGTATTGTAGTTTTACATACTATTATGAATAGCTAATTTGTTATCTAGGATTTTGATGGAACCTGTTGTAGGATAAAATCTTGTTATGTTTATATATAATTGAGCCGTAGTATTTTCTCTATTTGTTCAACTATATTATTCTTGTGGTTGATTGAAGGGCCCTCAATTAGCTGTGCCTATTTAGTATGTATTACTCGGGAGAGAGTGCATATTTAGGTAGTTGTTGAACAACATCACTCCCAACGTATGTGAGCAATCAATAACCAAGGGTTTAAAGGTGGGATTAGGGATAACGAAACCTTGGGTGCGATCTAAGTGAGTTGTAATCAAAGCCAGCTAGCGTAACTCGAGAGAGTATGTCTAGTAAATTGTCGTAATTACTCGGGAGAGAATTACAACACGCAGAGCGCTCATGATCGGTAGAGAATACTTAGGCGAAATTATAGAAGACATAGCAGGAAGGATTCCGACAACTGGGGAAATCATAACTCTAGACCTCCTTAATCTTGTCTCTAACCCTTAGTATATGTAGTTGTTAATTTATTATTTTAATTTGTTAGTTAATTAGTTAAACACAAGAATCTTAATATCTATAAGTTAGGAACTGTTCAAGCTTGTCTTCTTGGTGATACTGAACAATTGTAGCTAGGCCTTAGTTCTCTGTGGGATTCGACTCCGGACTTGTAAACCATATTATATTTGCAACGACCGCTTAGTCCTTTTTATAAGGCATAGTTAGGCGTGATCAATGAATATAACATTTGGATAGATTGTGTCGTTTGGCATCGTTTCATGATATCACGCACCAGCAATATGAAAAATAAACTTGCAATATTATAAAAAAAAATATATGATACGGTGTAAAATTACTATAAAAAGGTAAGGTAAATGATAAAATGAAATTATTTAATAATAATGAAGGGTGAGATTGAGAGAAAAGGACAAGGTAACAACGCGACCATATCAAATCGATCGTTACATAAAGTGACACATTTCGACATTACGTAACAATGGATTAACAGTCAAAACAAACATCGCATTTAAATTAACAATACGATACATTACAATATGTAACAACCATCCAAACAAGCGATAAGATAACACCAACAGTTCATATTGCATTGTATCATTTATCAATAATCAATAAATAGATAAACACAACAATTCCATTTAAATTTATATCATTTATGTGATTTTAACACTACAATACAATCTATTTTAAATAAACAATCAAAACAAACGTTGTTTTAGAATAAAAATACAATACGATATAACGAGTAACAACCATCCAAACAAGTTGTAAGGCAAGCTTCATGACAAACCGCTTTTTAATTTAGCCTCCAACATTCTGTGAGTTGGTATACATCGACTTAGTAAAATTATTTGTTATTTCACCATTGATTCGGTATAAGATAACTACCTTAAATTAGGCAATTCCTACATAACAATTGATGTATTACAATTCACCACATAATAATTAATGCAGTTTTATTCGCGGTCATCTGTAACTGCATTATCATTAATAGTGTAATCTCCACTTAGGTAGACCATAAACAACCCCTAATAGTGTAATCTCAATTAATTTGCAGGACTTGGTAGACTCATAATTGCTCGTTTGGTATGAGGGATAAGAAATAATTAATCCCAGAATTAAATTTAAGAAGAATTTATCTCATGTTTGATTGAGAGAAAATTGCGGTATTAGCATCCCAGGATTGTAGTATTTTTTTATCCCCGTAGAAAGATGGAATAACTAATTCCGGAATCTAACTCTACCTTTTTTAGTAGTATAAATTATCATGGGAACACCATGACCAAAGAAAACTGGAAAGTACATTTTGTTCAAGTCCCCAACAGGGTTCTTTGATTAAATAAAAAGAAATATTCATTGTTCCGACTGTCCAAAATATCTGCCAGATATTGTGACCAACATATTAAGCATAATAACTTCATCATCGAGTTTGGACTTGTCTAAATGTGCATTGGTTCAATTCGCTCTAAACAGAGTTAGTGACAAATTCAGTACATCTTTTTACATGCTAAGGGCTAAGGGCTACTTTGCCTCAATAGGATTAGTAAGGTAAGGTTTAGCCCGGTTAATGTTGCCTTGGTCCTATGCCTTTGGAAAATATCCACACGGCTATGAGATTATACGCCCTCGTGAGACTTTGCCAGCAGCTACCCCATGAATCCTTTACATGAGGCTGCCATCATAAGGCATTGTGAGGCGCAGAAGAGTGATTATATAGCCAAGACATATGGGTAACAATACAGGTGCTATTGTACCCCTTATTTGTACTCTTCCTAATTGTTGTATTTTTCTTTTCTTTTATTAATAAAAAACTAGCCCTAGGCACTTGCCTAGCGGATTGCCAAAAAAAAAAAACCTTCTATATGCGATTATTCAATTAAAGGTGTTTTTGTTAATAGCACTTGTATATCCTTGTATATGTGGTACCAAACTTATTTAATACCAATTTCATGTTACCTTTTTAAAAAAGAAAATGCTTATATCAATGACACTTTACCATTTGAAATAAAATTGATTTATCACCACCATCTCAAAAGAAATCAACTTACTTTTATAAGTGATTCCAAAGTTATGACTCGATTTGTTAGAACTTCAGTACATCAACAATGTTATTGAGTAGGTGTGTCAAGTAGCGGCCTGTGCTATACTTGGGTGGGGTTAAAATAGGTTGAATCAATAAACAGGTTGAGTCATAACCCGGACACAGTTTGCTTAGGTCAAAGATGGGAAGGTCAATTTGCCTAAACATAGATCACAACCCAACCCACCCAACTCAAAATCATTTTTCATTAATTTATTTCTTCTTTTATAATTTATTTAATTACCAAACTAAACTAATAGATGTTGTTTCTTTTATTTACTTTGACTATATCAAACAGATCAAACCCAAAATAACTTATTTTTCTTTGTAAATTTTTATGGATCAATTTGTTATTAGAGCTAAAAGATCAATAGGAACTTAACAAAAGCAGAAGACCGAGAAGCATTTGAAGAGTATAAGAGAGCTAAGAGCAACAACAACAACAACAACAATAACCCAGTGCAATCCCACAAGTGGGGTCTGGGGTAATATGTACGCAGACCTTACCTCTACCCCGAGGGGCAGAGAGGCTGTTTCCAGGAGACCCTCGGCTCAAAGAGGCAACAAGAGACACTATATTAGTACTATCAATAGACTCATAATANACAACAACAACAACAACAACAACCCAGTGTAATCCCACAAGTGGGGTCTGGGGAGGGTAATATGTACGCAGACCTTACCTCTACCCCGAGGGGCAGAGAGGCTGTTTCCAGGAGACCCTCGGCTCAAAGAGGCAACAAGAGACACTATATTAGTACTATCAATAGACTCATAATAAAACAACATAAAATATCATAAAATCCATAACATAACATAAATACCATAAAATAACAAAGTAACAGCAATATAAGAGAGCTAAGAGCGAAGCTGCAAAAACTATTAGTAAAGCTCGAGAGGAAGCCCTAAATGGCTTGTACCAAAACTAGGGACATGAGAAAGGGAGAAAGAAATGTTTAAAATAGTAAGATTAAGAGAGAAAAGGAGTAAGGATTTAAACCGGCTGAAGTGTATCAAGGACGATGCTCAACTAGTGTTGACAGGAGATAATGAGATCAAGGAGAAATTGATTAGGCTATTTTTGTCAATTATTCAACTCGAACAATGAGAATTACAAATCTCCATACATCACCCTTTAGCTACACTCTTAGAATTAGGCCGTCAAATGTAAAGGATGCCATGAAAAAAATGAGCATTAGAAAAGTCTCCAAACAGTATCCTTATAGAGGGTTGGAAGTATCTTGGAGAGGTTTGAGTAGGATGGATTACCATGTTATTTAATGCTATACCAAGTTATTCCTCTACATTTTTTTATGAGAAGGGTAGAGGCTTCAAGCACAAGTTATCATCCCAGAACTACTATAAAGCCTTTATTTTATTTTTGTAGCATCCATAATAACATGGATAGTTTAAGAGCAACCCTTTTAGACACGAATAGAAAAGTGGTACCTGACACGCCTAAGATACTCAAGCCCATCTTCAGGAGGACCAGAATCAAAGTCAGGCTCGCCTGTAAGTATAAAGGCAGGTCTTTGGATGCTGCTATAATCATCATTGCTATCATCACTTTCTTCATAAGCATTGCTTTCTCCCTCATAAGAGATGCCATCATCCCTACTGAGAGGAAACGCCGAAGGAGAATTTCTAGTGTCTATACTCCCTTCTTGAACATCCAAGTGCCCTGAATGGTCATTACCTGAAAGGTGTAAATGATTACTCACGTACACTTAGCAACGTCTAATACAGATGTCTGAGCAAATCCAGAAAATCAACTAATATATCATCCTCAAGCAAATTTCAGGTTGAGATGTTTATTCACTTCAAATGCAAATGAAATTTATCAATTCAGTCACTTTACTACTGCAAGTAGACCATACAATTACATCAGCAATCCATCCAGTGTACTACATTCTATTACATGAACAGTATACGTAAACACATCATCTCTCTCTCTAACACTGTATCAGTGTTTCATTTACAAGNAGTGTGCTACATGAACACATCATCTCTCTATCCAACACAGTATCAGTGTTTCATTTACAAGAGCTATCTATCTACAATCAGATTCATCATTGTGGTAAGATATGAGCAAATAAGAAATCAATGCTCATCCCAAACACTTTTCTGTACAGCAGAGGTATTGGACAATGGTTAGAAATGCTCTTCCCGACAGCCCTTCATCTCGAACAGGGTACAATAGTAAAGACCTAATGCCTAGGTAAACACAAAGTGTTTTGCAGATTCATATATGCCATGCCTCTTTGAGTATAAACTTTCATATGTTTTCCTCGTTCTTTTGCAGCCAAAACACCTGTGCCAACAGAAATTTGGAAACCCATCAAACTGACACAACCACAACAGAATGTGTAGAGAAGAAAACAATACATAAAGGCAAGATATAGAGTAAAAACTTTGACATGAAATGTGTAGCTTGTCAAAATGCCAAGAGTTATAATCTACAATATAACCCAAGTTACATCTAAACTTTCATTTGCATGAAAATGGGGAAGGTCAATGATAGGGTCCGCTGTTGGAACACAATTCTCCACTACAATAGTTGTGTCCTCCTCCTCCTCCCCCCCCCCCTATTTTTGGGTGAAAGAAGCACTCTTTGAATCCTCTTTTACCAAAAGTGTTAAACAGATTTAACAAAAAAAAAAACTTAATGTAAAGAGAGGCATTTGAGATTTTACTTTTTATTCTTTGGCGTTCTCAGATATATCCAGTAATAGTGCCAGCAAGGAATGATAGAAAAGATAAAACCCTGACCTTAAACAATAAGCAACTAACAATTTTAGAAGGTGAAGATCAAACAGCTTCTGAAACTAATATTCACTTTGCACACAGGCTTATATGTTTAGCAGACAGAGAGAGTGAGAGGTCGTTTCTGATAGCGACCATGTATGGGTGTGTGCATATATATTATATGTATATGTATAAAGAAGTCAAGCATCAACCACAAAAACTAAAAAGGAAGGGTGAAAAGTAAAAAATAACTGTTAGTTTTTTTAAAATAAATAAGCGAAGTTTCACTGATGAAAACCAGCATTAAGAAAACGCCGGTCCAAAATACAGTCAAGGATTTACATGAATTGCAGTTTGCTGATGAAATCAAGTATGCCTTCAACTTCATTTACAATTGCCATCTTGCACCAAAAAGCTACCCAAGTTATGCAACTATGCTTAGGCTACTACTAATTACATTTTCAAATTTGCCTTCAAATATTCTAAGATTCCTTTCCCTTCGAAAACAAAACTTTAGTTAATTGCTTGTGCACTTCATAGAACTAACTGGGAAACAATGCACCCTCCAAGATACAAGGCACACATGGATATGCTGATTTTCTTAATCTTTTTAATCAATGTATTACCTAGAACTCTTACAGCATAGAACCACTGCATAACAGGCCATAGAGCACTCTGCTGAGCAACTTTTACAGATTCAGTTAATGAAATATCAGAATTTTTAGAAAAGCAAATCAATAAAGAGTAAAAAGATATTTTATGTAGCCAAAGAAGTTTTTGTATTCTCTTAGACAAACGACGATATTGTATAATTCTTCCAGTATCTTGATTTTGACTTGATACAAATTTGGGTATGGCATTCTCTTGTCTTTTTCTCATGTACTACTGGATCACCATACATATTTTTACATCTCTTTGATGCTTTTATTTTATATAGCTTTCTTATTTACCGATCAAAAACGAAAAGAGAAAATACAATACAACTTGAATTTGGCTGGCCTGCATGCTCGTACATTGATTTAAATAGAATGACCTCCCGCTTAACATTTGAACAACTTTAGAAAGAAACATCCAGAAGCAATAATCCAACAAGTCAATCTCTTAAAATGATACCACCATGCCAACAGATAATGAACACTATTTCACAAAGATTGAGAGGTTTAAATATTAAACCTTCAAATTAATTGACTAGGTAAACTTCACAGCATAATTATTTTTATCAGGCCCAACAAATTATCATGTAATCTTTACTGCCAGTTTCGGAAATATAGTAAATTATACTCTTAGAAACGCCAGGTATCAAAGAACAAACAACATTAGCCATTCAACTATTCAAACAACGCAGAAAAAGAAAATTCAGATAATACGAGTTGTCAGGGAATCACGCACCAGAAATCACAGGGGTATTTTCTTTTCCAAGGTGTCCACGAATGTGCTTTTGAGTATTAGACTGAAGGAGGCCATCGTACTCCTTTTTCACAGTATCATCAAGCCCACAGTACACCTCAACCCACTTTTTCCTCTGTTCTTCGATTCCAACAAACCTCAAATTTTCCAACTCCTTTCTACGATAAACCATTTTCTCTTCTCCTCCTTTCCTTTTACAGCCATCAGAAATGAGCACATTTTTTTCTTTTGCTTTTCTTGCCACCATTTTCTCTCCATTCTCTTTTTCTACTTGATGGTTTGCATTCTTTTTCTTCTTATTTGTTCTTGATTTGTATCTTTTATCAACTGTGCGACTTTTTCCACCTTGAGAGATATCAATCATTGCTGTATCATCAATTACTTCAATCTTTAGAGAACACCTAACAGACCCATCATCTGTTGTATCTTTGGGCGGCACATGGGTATTGTCTTTGACTTCAAATTCTTGAGTATCCACATTGAGCTTCTCAGAAATGCCTGTCATCTTTACAGAGTTGGCCTTCTCAGTGAAAGAAAGGGTTTCTTTGGAAGCAAAAACAGCATGAGATTCGAAACCGTCAGCCATGATGATGATTATTCACATTCAGGAGAGGGAGAGAAAGCGGTAAATTGGAGCCAAGGGGTTTGGGGTTTTTTGGCATTTGGAGGAGTTTTGTAGCATTTTCTACCCGCGATGGCGTAGAAACTTTTGTGAGAATCACAAATGTATGCTCAAGTGCAGTTTGGTCCTCTATGTATTAGTTTATTACCTTGCACGCAACAAATTCTATATGTTTGCAAAAAAGGAACACTTTTGAACCAAGCCTAAACTAAAACTTAAGGGGTCATGGGTCACAATATATAAACTTTAGGGGTCACGGGTCACAATATATAAACTTTATATTGCATTACAGATTAATTGTGGGGCATTTGCATCTATACTCATTTTTTGGATCACGTTTTAACTTGTACCCGCTTTACAAAAAAAAATTGCAGGCGTACCCAATTTTTTTTACGTAACTTCGGCATACGGGCCTGAAGTAGCAAAGGCAATCACGCAAAACTTCAACATTCTAGTAGACGGGCCTAAAGTAGCAAAAATTGTTGAACTAGACGTGCTTAAGTTTTTGTTTGTAATTATTGAACTTAAGCATTCTAGTAGCTGAAGTTTTGTTCTCTATTTGCTGAAGTTTTTGTTTGTAATTGCTGAACTTCAGCATGTTTTAGCTGAAGTTTTTTACGTAAATTTAGCGTTGGCTAAAGTTTTTGTTTGTAAATTGCTGAACTTAAGCATTCTAGTAGCTGAAATTTTGTTCTCTATTTGCTGAAGTTTTTGTTTGTAATTGCTGAACTTCAGCATGTTTTAGCTGAAGTTTTTTACGTAAACTTAGCGTTGGCTAAAGTTTTTGTTTGTAAATTACTGAACTTAAGCATTCTAGTAGCTGAAATTTTGTTCTCTATTTGCTGAAATTTTTGTTTGTAATTGCTGAACTTCAGCACGTTTTAGCTGAAGTTTTTTACGTAAACTTAGCGTTGGCTAAAGTTTTTGTTTGTATATTGCTGAACGTAAGCATTCTAGTAGCTGAACTTTTGTTCTCTATTTGCTGAAATTTTTGTTTGTAATTGCTGAACTTCAGCACGTTTTAGCTGAAGTTTTTTACGTAAACTTAGCGTTGGCTAAAGTTTTTGTTTGTATATTGCTGAACGTAAGCATTCTAGTAGCTGAACTTTTGTTCTCTATTTGCTGAAATTTTTGTTTGTAATTGCTGAACTTCAGCACGTTTTAGCTGAAGTTTTTTACGTAAACTTAGCGTTGGCTAAAGTTTTTGTTTGTATATTGCTGAACGTAAGCATTCTAGTAGCTGAACTTTTGTTCTCTATTTGCTGAAATTTTTGTTTGTAATTGCTGAACTTCAGCACGTTTTAGCTGAAGTTTTTTACGTAAACTTAGCGTTGGCTAAAGTTTTTGTTTGTAAATTGCTGAACTTAAGCATTCTAGTAGCTGAACTTTTGTTCTCTATTTGCTGAAGTTTTTGTTTGTAATTGCTGAACTTCAGCATGGTTTAGCTGAAGTTTTGTTCTATATTTGCTTGTGTACTTTCCGATTAAGAAAGGAACTTGCATCTTTCTATCACTTGAAGTTCTAAACGTTCTTTTTAGTTCTTCCTTCTATAATATGTTTTTGGCGTGGTCAGAACAATCAGAAAATAATTTTTTCTTTTGGAACATGAAGTTAATACAGATGGATTTTTTATCTTCTCTTTGTCAAATGTTTTGTTATGTTCTTTCTGTTTAATTTTGTGGCAATACGAGTTGAATTATGAACTACTTAGAATACTTAACAATTCTTCCCGTTTTAATGCAGTTCTGACTCTGCGGATGTTGAGGAACTTGAGAAGAAGTTGGCCTCTCTTCGAAGAATTTGAGGAAGAAGAAGAAAAAAAAAACGTTGGAGGAGAAGGAGGAGGAGAAAAAGGCTGAAATTGTTTAACAAGTGAGTACAAATTAAATTTTTTTAAAAAAATAGATACATCTTAAATGGGGGCGATCAAATAGGGCACCCCGTGCAATTTTTACATTAATTGTCTCTGTATCCAATCATTTACCAAAACACAAACTAAATTTCATCTTCTGCTTTAGGTATTTTTTTAAATGAATATAGTACTAGGTAAAGTATTTTGTGGCTAATTTTATTAGTAATAATACAAGTCTCTAATCTAAATGTAGAATATTCTACATTAATACAGTGCAAATAATATGAATTTGCAAAAATTAAATATTCTGTTTTCACCTTAAAATTTATAGGTCATTATAAGTAGGGATGGTAATGGGGGAGGGGGGAGTGTTTGATCTTATACAGAGCAGGGTGGGTTTGACCTTATGCAGGGTGGTTGCGGGTGCGAGGCAGGTTGAAATTGTTTTTTGAAAATCTAATGCGAGGTGGGACGGTTGCGATTTTCGACGGTTTCCCCGATGTTAGTATGTCCAAAGCAACGATTTCTCTTACTTCTATTTTTTGGCTTTTACTTTTCAGCTCCAACTTGCAAAGCATTTTCTTGTTTAATTTTACTTCTTTATTAATCATAAGAATAATTTATCAAACAGAAAATAAATTTAAAAAAAAGGATAATTTATCAAACATAAGATAAAAGAAACACACAGCAAACAGTAATACTTCTACATTATTTTCAAATGTAAGTACTACCTACAAAAATGCACAAATCTTATGAGACTCAGCATCATATTATTAATTATAAGAATATCGATGCTTCCGACAAGTAGAGTATAGAATAGCAGTTTTAAAAAGATATATTTAATATTGATTAAAATAATAAACTCCCTAATCAAATTACTACTTTTATGGGACATTATGCTAAAAGATATTTTCTAACAATATTAGTAGGAGACACCCATGATCCACCATCACATACATTTTTTTTTTGGGGTTTTAAAGACTAATTTATATTATAATAAAAAAGGTATTACAGGGAGCTGCGGCTCATGGGCAATATTACAAGAAGTTGTAAAACTAAAACTACTCGCACTATTGTGTTTAGTTACACTATGACTATTGGTACTACTAATACTAGTGGGTGAATGGTATGAGGAGATTCTGTTTGGGACATTGCTCGTAGATGGCATGTCCCACATATTACAAAAAGTGGGTAATTGTTCATATAATGCAACATGTGATATATATCTCATTCTTTGTGTTACATGGCCCTGTTGGTCTTGCATGAGGAGGTTGCTGATGAACGGTGGAGGATCTGCCAAAAAAGTGATGTTACTGCTCGATAATTGTAGTCCAAAAAGTGCAAGTCTATCTGCTACCATATTTTGCTTCCTATATATGTGGGTTACTGTTGGATTACTCAGCTGGCGGATCAGGAACCTGCAATCAGTTAACAAGAATGAGTAGTGTACAGTGTGTTTATTTAACATAGATATTGCATGTTGGGCATCCATCTGGATTTCCAAGGGTGTTAGGTTGTGGTGGACTGCTAATTGTAAACCACATAGTAATGCCATTAATTCTATATCTATTACATTGGATGCTTGATAGTTTCCCGCATAGCCCATTATCCAATCGCCTTTGTGATTTCGAAATAGCCCCCCAAAGCTTGCTTATGAAGTGATTATATGAAAGGCCTCATCCGTATTTAAGGTGATGATACGATTGTTGGGCGGTTTCCACTTTACATACATAGGTATTTTAAGGTGTTTATGAGCATGGGTGTTAGTTAAAAAAAGATGTTCCGCTGTTTGTTGAAGGATTAAGTTGGGTGATGGGAGGGTCCCAATGTGTTCAAAATAGTTTTTGTTTCGAGTATTCCACAAATGTCATAATGCAAAAGGGATCAGATGTTTTAGAGAAAAGTTGAGTGTGTGAAAATTACCCTTTTGATTAATAAGATATCTAAGCCAGTTGTGGTTAGGAATGTCGTGTGTGGTGACTGATTGAAATAAGATATTGGAGTTTTAGATTTTGCCAACAATGTGCTGCATGCACACATTTTAATAAGATGTGTGCAATAGTCTCTTCTTCCATGGGACAGTGTGGACAAATATTAAATTGGATAATTCCTAATTTATGTAAGTAATCTTTTGCATGGAGTCTATTATGACTAGTGAGCCAAAGGAAGTGCTTAATTTTTGGAATCGTTTGTAATTGCCAAATCCAACCACGATGATTATATTGTTAGGTGATTTAGTGAGCTCTTTATAACAGGAGTTGACAGTGACTTGACCCGTTTGTGTTAACCCTCATAATATATGATCTAGATTAGTGTTATAATTCGTGATGTAAGTGTTATTAATTAAGTGGATTATCTGTTGAGGTAATTAGAAGGATAGTAGTTGACTAGGACCACTGTTAATTTAGAGTACATTGGCTACTGTGAGAGTGTGTTCCTTATTATTTAAAGGGCCATAAATAAGGCTTCAAATATTCTTGTTCGGAGCAAGCCAATTATCAGTCCAAAAATTGACATGAGTACCCCGCGTGACACGCCATTTTAATCCTATTTGGTATATTTGCCAACCATGTATCATATGTTTCCATAGGGTGGAGGTCCTTGTAGGTATTGTTCTAGTGTTAGTAAGATATTTAGAGAGTAATAAGGATGTCTAAGGTGGGTATGTTTGATGAAACAACCTCCAAGTCGTACTTGCTAGTAAGACATCGTTTTTTTGCCTAAGTTTTTGGATACTCAATCCACAATTTTCTTTAGAGGAAGTAACTGTTTTCCAATTTAAGAGGTGGAACTTTCTTTTTTGTGAGGTAGATCCCCATAAGAAAAAAGTCTAATAGCTTTCTAGTCTATTATTGATATGAGTAGGTAGGGATATAATTTGCATTACATGATTGGGAATGGTATTTAGAGTAGCTTTGATCAAAGTAGTACGACCATTCATTGTAAGATGGTTTGTTTTCCAACCCACAAACCTATTTTTGAATTATCTAAGATGAATTGATAATCCCTTTTTAATGTAAAAGAAGAATCTATGTTAAATTTCATTAAATTTGGCTAAGATCATGTTTTAGAGCTCAACTCCAAATAGATGGACTTAATTTCAAGAAGTGCAAGAAGTCCATGAAGCTCAAGATTGATTTCAAGAAGCCAAGATTCTTTCCTTCTTAAAATGAGACTTATTTTATTCCTTTTAGAATAAGGATTTTCCTTTTTAGTAGGATTCTA